AACGTTAATTAGTACTAATTAGTCAATAATCGAAAGAAAAGAACAAAAATTTTTACATATTTTCTCGTCGTAAATATTCTCCACACATTTCTCTATCGATCTAGGCAAGAACCAAGCTTTTGTGATGAATGGAGAATGGACAGGAATTTTTTTAATAATAACCCCGAGCTCAAAAATTTAACAACATTTTTTTAAGTAATTAATTTTTTTCTCAGCCAAATAACGTCAGTAAGCCGAAAAAACTTCAGGACATATACTTCGAAGTGTCCTCTACAAACTGGGAACGCTAGAGAAAAGTCTAAATGGGTCCCCCCCTTAATTAAACTTATTAAAAAGTCATGTATTTTGTCATCATATTTTGATGCTGAAAAACTCAAATTGAAAAAGAACCGTTCATTACAATTAGACGTTAGAACAAGGTGGAATTCTACCTGTTGTATGATCGACGGCTTGTTAAATTTGAAATTAGTAATAGCAGAATGGTTAGATAATAAAAACTGTTTAAAAATTAAAAATAAACTAAAACAGGAATTGAATGAATTAAAATTAACATCAAATCAATGAAACGTACTGTCTGTAATACAGATAATACGGATAGTATTGAAACCGTTCTATCGAGTAACACAATTAATTAGCGAGCGATAGTAAATATTCAACATTGGACTGGCCTACTCTGCCATTCATTTTACCAAATTCTTTATTGATGATAGTTATGAAATGAAAAAATTAAAACAGCGTTTGTCGAGAACAACGAAACAATATTTGGATGATGATATTGACCAAAGTGAGCTTCTGAAAGTACGATGTTAGCGTGCGGCCGGCTGATAGGATTTGATCAGAGAGACTGAAACAAAGACTCAAATCGATATTTATCTTTTTGTACCTCATATGATCCTAGAGATTTAAGATCCATATGTCCTATCGTCTGAGTTCAATAAAAGCTATAAAATTCAACAAAAAGTACTTGACTTTTGAAAAGGTTTTCTAGAAACCTTTGGAAGTAAGAGAATGTTTTCGATCAAGCTTAAGTTCAGAATTAGATTGAGTAGATGAAATAGAGTATGTGTTAATGCTCTGAAGTAACCGTGCTCAACTTTGACTGAGTTATGAACTTTTTTAATTTTTCTTGAAAATAGCCAAAAATGAGGTTTTCTCAAGGGCTGAAATTTTGCTTTGAAAACAAACATTGTCACAAAACTCAGCACGGTCGATAACCTATGTTTCCATTTAGTCTACATCAACGTGCCGAATCTCCCAAAATGCCACGGCTGAATGGTGAAAAGTGAAGAAGTCAGAGGATTCCTAAAGAGTACGCTCTTAGTTATCTACCGTAGAAAAAAAATGAATGGATTTGTAGCAAGATCTGACAGGACTATGACCTAATTTTCTAAAGATCTGCCAGAAAACTGTTGTTGCTGTTACATGAAAAAAAATGAATCAAAATAATAGGCGTGTTACACCAGGAAGTTGGTCTAGGCTAACTCCTCACGCACTGAGCATATTCATTTGAAACTCAGACCTTAAGGGTTTCGCAAGGTCTTCTTTCTTTTACTCTCTAGAAACTTTTCTCCAAAACTCTTGGAAATAGGGTTTCCAGAAAACCGAGGTTTTTGACCTACAAGAACTGATTATAATGAGTTTTGAGAAAATCGATGCGACTCAAAAAACTTTTGAAGCCCACATTCGGATTCAGCATCAAATTTCGAACATTTTGAAAAAACAATCGAGTCCCTTACTCAAAATTAAATTGTGTTTAAATTTCAAAGTTTAACTTTTTTTAAATTTGATACAACTCGGCAAGGATAAGTGATAGAGACTTGATTCAAACGTGGTTAAATTAGAGAATTAAAAATCCAATAAAACTGGATAGTTGGCGACGTTCATGTATCACGTGATCAGGGTTTTCTAGGAGATCTTCGTAGAACATTTTTCAAGCCAAATACAGGTTTAGTAGCGCAAATAGTTGCCCATGGAGTTATAGGTTTTCCAAAAAACCATTGTTTTTGGAGTACCAAAACTGCCATCCGGCTGTGTTCACATAATATTAAAAAAGTCACTATTTACTCAAAAAACATCAGAACGAGTTCAAAATTTCAGGATATGGTTAATTTCCTTTGCTAAATGTAATTATAGGATCGAAAAATCAGAAAAAGTATAGTTTTGTTATTGGGTTTTTCAGAAACCCTTTCGGAAAACCTTACGGTTTTGTCAAATTTATTTTGAGATTTCATATAAACAGGATATAGAATAGCTTAAATACTCTACATCCTGAAATTTTGAACTAGTTCTCATGTTTTTTGAGTGAATAGTGAATTTTTTAATATTAGGTGAAAACAGCCTGAAAATCCGAATTTTCGTATAACTCGCTTAGATTAGATTTAGAATAGATTTTCACAACTTTTTCTAAAAGTAAGCATTGCCACGAGACTCAGCATGGTCGATTACTCATATTCCATTTGCCTTCAAGGCTACCAATAGTGACCGGCTGCCAGCCATGGGATTCGTAGCAACTTCGATACAACACCCAAACCGTGGAAAATCAAGGTCACACTTTGGCCTGTGACAGTTCATCGTTCCTTGTACTGCAGTTTCTCGATAACGGGAAGGGTTTTTCAGTTTCCGTTCTGAACTAGGAACGGTTCAGCAGTTCACGTTTCTAGGAACTTGGAACGGTTCAACAGTTCTGGTTTCGCAAACGGGAACTACAGTTCTTTTTGAACTGGAAACCGCTCAGTGTCCTTTTGTAATTTGTTGATATATTATTTTATATTATTTTTGTTTTGGATATTTTAGAACAAGAGTGATATCGGTCGCTGTCATTGAATCATTAGGGTTAACAACAAAGAATGTTATTTGTTTGATACTTACACGACCAGCAAATTTTATTTTCAAAGCTAGTGATTTTATTCTATTGAATATACCTAATATAAAAATGTGGCAATACCGCCCCTTTTCAATTACTAGCCCACCTGAACAACAAGACACAATAGCGTTACATATCAGTGTCGATGATGATTGGACAGGGGAAGTATATAAATATTTCAAAAGCAAATTAATTCAACAAAATCGACCAAGACGTCAAAGTCGAATACAGTTAAACGATGCAAACCAGCTGTCTTATACAACCCAGATACTTGATACTGCAATACTGTGACCAACGTAAATCATGAAGTCCTCACTGCTGAGACCCTAAAAGCGCAAAGCTGGTGGACATTTCTTACATTCGATGATAATCGGGCTTGTATCAAAGGGTCATACAGTCCCGAGTCACTAATTTAGGATGTCTGGTGAGTAAATGGGGTGAAGAACTGAAAACAGTTTCACTCACTTGCATATTTTGATCAACAAATACTTTCGAAAGAAAGGTATTTTACCAAGCCTTTCTAAAAGAAAAACCTTCCATAGAGAAAGGAGGTTTCGTAAAGTATCTTTTTTCTCACGCACGCTTAAAATAGTTACATAATGAGCTAGAGGACATTTTTAAGACTCATTTAAAGTTCAGGATGAAAAACGCTGCTTACGTGCGTCCTGGGTGTCAGAGAAGAACCTTTGAGCAAGAAAAAAGGTTGCATAAGATAGCTTTCTACTTAGATAAGGACGAGTGATTTATTTCAACTCCTCAGAAGAAGAAATGTATTGCTGTTGATGTCAATGTTGTTGTGCTGTGCTTTCTGTCACCTGTAGTTTTTCATTTTGTAAACAGGATGATGCTTGATAATACGTGTAACTAGCTATAAAAAGAGAGGTATACCGAAAATGGAAATAAAAGAACAGATATCGAAAGAAGAGATGATGAAGGACAGTTTTTTGCAGTCTTATCGCACAACATCAACAACAACAGTGTAATATAAAAAAATTACTAATTATATGGAGCAATCGAGATATGAAAAGTTTTGAGTGGTTCCTTCAGAAATTAAATGAATTTGCAAACACTGATTTTTTGGATATTTATCTTTACTTAACAGGTCCATCGCCATACAACCGACAAGTCCAGCAGATATCTTCGTTCAAGTTGTTAGTCAGTACAGTACTGAAGATAAACATGTGTACACAAGGTTAACGAGAAAAATACATCAAGGACGAGCAAACTGTCCGGAAATCTTTACAAAAGTAAAGAAAGAAGCAACTGGTCCCGTAACAATATTTGTATGTGGAAAGCCGAAAATATGTCGTGAAGTTCAAAAATTTTGTCAAGAGTTTGATTTCACTGTGTATAAAGAACAGTTTTAAGCAAGCTTATCCTTGACACATAAACAAAATTACAATATATGGTTCTATATAAAAATGTGTAATACAATTAATAATTCTTTTTATTTTAACGATGTGTAAAATATTTTTATTTATATTAAGATGTTTCTATTTATTAAACATGACAACATGCAAATATTATTCTTTTGTTTGCGTTTCTTCCTTTTTTCTCCCTACAATACGTGCCAAAAGTCCCGTCTATCGGGAACTCTGAATTTCTGAAGTCTTTTGACCTTATATTCTGTATAAACATACCACAATCAAATGTAGTCTAACTATAAAGTTTCAGATCATTTTCTTCCATAGTCTAAGAGAAAAGATACGTTTACTTTTTACCCCTCTTCAACCATTATTTTCTTAACCATTTGAAATAATAACATTTTTCATACACTGTTGTCTAGCTATGACTGTATATTGTCTATACTATAAATTTCAAGTCTTGGCACTTGTCCTTTTAACAGACATAAATATTTTACGGATACGGTAAAAAAAATGTTGTCTTCAGTGAAAGAGTCGTTTCACTTGAAATGTATTAGGAATAAAGTTTAGTTGGTACTGTATATAATGTAAAAATTTCAAATCAATTGGTCATATCTGAGATGAGAAAAGCAATTTCTAGTTCGTTCAGCATGAAAAAGTTGAGTAAGTGAAAAGTGGAAAGTTTTGTTGAACTTATCGTTTTCTTTTCATTTCAAAGCTTTATATTACGTAGCATGTATGAAAATAATTCTTATATATTGTGGTTTATGTCAAACTACAGAATAACCTATGAGCACTTGACTTTATCAGGCTAGATGTCGGTGCACTCTTAATCCAATTCCAAGGTAATAAAATGCTTTTTGGTGAACTTCTTTTTTATACAGTCCACAAGTATGAACCAGGGTTTCCCGTGCGTTTCAGATGGAAAGAATGAAATCTGATTGAAAAACAAAATATTTTTGTATGGTTATGTCAGAAACTAAAAGTGCCATGACCATGAAAAAAGCTTGTCAGCAGCAAAATTTTTGAAACATTTTTGCTTCGTAGAAGCAAAAAGGTGAATACTTCCTATTGAATTGTTGGATTATAACATAGAACTTGTAGCAATATATCCTAATAATTTAAAACTTGTGTCTAACAACATCAGATCGATAATGAACTGTGTGTTACTAGTCCATTCAGTAGCTGTAAACAGCAAATTTATATTCAAATTTGGTCAATCACAATTTCACTCCAAAAAATTTACAGGTTCTGACAAAAAAATCCTCTGCAAACCACAAAATTTCTCGTATATAAACTTTATACTTCAAATTTCCTTTTCCTTCGAAAATCGGACAAATCCTAGGAGTTTTCACAAAATATTTATGTCTGTTAAAAAGACAACTGCCAAGAGTTGAAAGGATGGAGGCGGATAATGTGGTTTTGCATCCCCCAATATTTTTGAAAAAGAATTCTATATTCTGGAGCAGCATGAAATTTTGAATAAAATGACGTACTTGGTTCATTCGGGAATTGACTTTCGATTATTTCGAAAATGTTTTGCCCTTATGATCCCCTCGGAATATCGATAATTTCTTTTGTCAGAATTTTTGAAACACATATTGTCTGATGCAGAATTTCATGCTGATTACAAATATAACGTCAAACATCTGGAAAAAACAGTCGTGACCAAGAAAATTGATTTCCACTTACAGACGGTGATCGTGACTTAATTGAATTAATTGAATTAATGTCGTACTAACACTCTAGTACATGGTTTGGAAGTCTCACACAGTGGGCAACCAGGCGGGCATAAAACGAAAGTGTTATTTTTCAAAGTTTAAGCATTAGAATAATTACTTCTGTCTTTGATCTATCTTGTCCTGAAATAACATTTTCAGAAATTAAATTGAACGTTGGAAAAAACATATACTAAGAAATTTGTTCAAAAATCGCTATCCTCAGATAAAGTTAATGTTTTGGCCAACTTATTGGAATAGTTTAATTTGAAAAGCTATCTAAAAGAATTATTCATCTATGAGCTCCATTTTAATGAAAAGATCGTTTAGATTGAACTCAAATTGCTACAGAAAAACATCTACTAGTCTAAAATTGAGTATCAGAAATGCATCATTCTGTATTTTGTAAACGCTACAAACAGCTAAAGTTCAATCGAGAAAAATAATTATTTTTATTTAGCTTAAAATTAAAATATTTATGATGATGACTAAGAGTATCTAATTAGATATCTGTCAAGTAATATAATCGCGAACTAAAGACTGAAACAAAACATGTTTTCTTGAACGATCAGATTGAATTATCTATGCTTGTTTGCAATAACATCGTTAATAAATAGAGAAAAGGTCTTAGAAAAATATAAAATTTATTTATTTTAATTAATACACAAAAGAAAAATAGCATTATATAAAATCTTAATAGTTCATTATTATTAAGAACTGACTGAATAAAATGAATATTCAAACAACAATGTTTTAATTTTGATATATTATTTCTCTTCATATTTCTGTCTTAATATTAAAATGCATTATATTTTACAGTTTTGGTTTTCATTTCTAGGGAATTGTCTGGGTTCTTGTCTAACTTATTATTGTCAACGAATATCAATCGGTAATTATTTTCGTGAAGTTAGTGGGCATCGTGGTTTATTTTGGTTTGGTGCTATTAGTCAGTTGGCATCGTTAATTGGTGCAATATTCATTTATTTGTTAACATCCGTATTCAATGAATTTCAGGAGCGTGATGTTTGTAAACATTATGTGTGTTAGATAGAAAAAAAGAATAATTTATCAACTTACGAAATATTTTTTGTATAGAATTAGACATTTCTCTTTTTCTGTGTGTGCGTGTGGCTTAAATTTAGTCGATATAGTTCTTTATTTATACCAAATGTAGTGTAGTTCTTGAGTAGAAGTATATAAAATCTTAGATGTTGATTCTAATTCATTATTGGTCGATATAAGGAAAGTTTATTGTAAAAAAGAACTCTTATTTCATCCAGATAAAAAATCAAATTCAAATGCTGGTAAAATGTTTAAATTGATGCAAAAAGCGTATGAAATGTTATTAAATGAGACGATAGTCCGTGGACTGATAAATAATTGTTGCTGTTTGAAAAGTGATTTTATTTTCAAATGCAGTTTACAACAAGCGACCTTACGTAAAGATGAACGTAATCGGAAATAAATATTATTTTCAGAATGAGAGATGGGTCTTCTAAAAAAGTGTATTTTTTCTGATTTTTCAGCAAAAAATCTTAGGTGTCGATCTCGTGGAAAGAACTCATTTTTGGTTCCGATCCCGTGGTCCCGTAAATATTTTTTCGAAGTAACGCAGGTGGTTTGAAAGACAGCGCGTTGTAACGCGGGACATGGGATAGCATGTGCGAGTGGTGTTAATTGAGAACTTTTAGAATTTTGTGTGAGTTTTTCTCGTAGAAAAAGTGCCTACATACAAACAAGCACCGAACTTAAGAAATTTTATACTCTATACAAGGCTATTAAAAACCGCGTGGAATCGGGATGATCCCGTAGGACAGAAATCGTCCCACAGACCTGTAAGTCCCGGTCCGTGAAAAGCCCCGCGAGATCGGGACAGTCCCGCGGACTTCTATCTAAAGCACGTTATTTTTAATACGGTCAGACTGGGGACCAGAAGAAAAGATTTATTCGATTTTCAAACTTTTTATAGAAATTATTCTAAATTATGCGCAGTTCACACCTTTAATATGGCGATGAGGTATTAAACTCGCATGAAAATAACAAAAAGTAACCTATATTTGTTTCTTTCTCGAGAAAGAGAAATGCTTGAATATTAAAAAAAACTTAAAGTATTCTAAAAGAACATTGATAATGATATCAGATGTCAACATCGCAACATACTATTTTAAAAGAAAAAAATCTGGCTTTGCCGAATTGAAATCAATTCGTGAAATCAGTAAAGAGTGAAAATGAAGATTTTAGGAATGTCATTTTATTGCATGTATCTGGATAGATCCTGCTGTTATATTACACTGCTAGTGAAGTCGTTGTTCGCTCAAATATTAGCGGAAACTAACCACGCTTAGAATCACAGAATAAATGGATAGTTTCTGTAAACATCAAGAATCAAGTTCAAATAATCTTAAGAAACACCTGATAGAAGATGAATCATTTCTAATGGAAGAAAAATAAATAGATAACAGTACGAACAGCATGGATCATATGCATTACCAAAACTTTGCAATAGCTGAGCCAAAAATGACGCTAAGTAAGCTTATATCGATCCTAGTTCATCTAAAACTGTTCTGACTCTGTTTCTGTCACTGCTCTCAAAAGCACGAAAGGAATTTATAATAGCGGGTTTTATCTTACTTGGCCTTTGTTTGGTGACGTCCACTATTGTATTTCCTGTCATGCTCGTGAACAAACGTAAGGTTGATTAATTTTTTGCATAAAAAGATAAAATTAAAATTCTTATTGTTTGTATCTTTTATGTAGCAAACACAAAACCCTTCCCCTCTTTCTGCAGGTAATTTAATTATCAAAACAATTTATGGATAGAAAAGAAAATTATCTCCATCAGTTCTTGCTTTTTTCGACGAAACAATATACGATGCTCTCAAATAATTTTCATCTTTTAGCAAACAGTAACATAATGGGCGTATGTCATATTCAAGGCGATCCTCATTTGTTAATGTTTCTTGACAAGCCAGAAGGAGAGCGGCAGCGGCGCCAATATTGGTGTAAGATGCCGTCAGTGTACCAGATATTGAGCAATAAATACGTTGCAGGAACAGTTGGAGTAGCAGACCGAGACAGATACTGGTTTAATGAACAGGTACATTTTCAAGCATTTTATAGTTAACTCGTTCGTCTACAAGAACCCATTAAACAGTGGGCATTTTTCTACAGAGCAGGCGGACATATGCTGTAGGAGTAGTATGAAAGCCTATAAACACGTTCTTCTATAGGTTTTCGAATATGCTCTTTCTAATGATGAGATTTTCAGTACTCAAAAGTAATTCCTTGTGGGTTTTCTGGAGACCGGATCTCTGGAAAACCCATAAAAAATATTTTTCCATTTCGAGAACCTCACTATTCGAAAGATCATATTCGAAAATCTATAAAAAATGTGTTTATAGACTTGTGTACTATTGCTAAAATAAATATCCAAATTCCTAAGCAAAATTTGCTGCTTTTTATTTCAAGTCTATAATTCAATTTGATCGAAAATATTTCTGCAAAAAAATTAAAAAGCTATACATCATTCGATGCACTTTTTCACGCTGATTCCGAATATGGTATTATGTTTCAGCAAAACTGTTTTCTTGACCGAGAAAAGCTCGAAATATTTGAAAAACCGTTAGCGTTTCTGAAAATCTACCAAGCCTGTCTGGTAGAGTTGGGAGATTTTGGGAGATCAGTACAGACAGAGTAGTGTCTGAGGAACATTTTGATGTAATTAAATGTTATTTTCGAGTGGTGCCAACGGGTGCGACGGAACTATACTGAAGTGGTCTCATGAAGAATTAACGTTATAAAGAATTCATGTGCTGTTTTAAATGGAAACCATTTTCGAGTTTATGATTTGTTATATCATTAGACGGCTGAAAGTCTGCTGATTCTAAATATGTGCTTTACAATCGTTAAGCACATCTACATGAAGAAATAATCATGTTTTTGTCTATAGATGTCGTATTTTTCGCTTTTTCGTATGCATTTTTCGAATCCCTTTTTCGTCTCGAAGGAGTCGACATCACAATAGGCACTTGTACACCATTCGATAGAGAATTGAAAGGGCTACATTTTGCACTATTTATATGCATTCTGTTACAAGTTTTCAGAGGACTCTTTTCTTTTATCAAGATCTTCGAAGGGTGCATGGAATACGGTGTTACTCCTTTACAAATTGTGTTAACTTCGTTAAGCCTCTCTTTAATTACGAGCATAAGAGTGCTAGAGTTTCGGTCTCCTCTTTTCTGTCTAGATGCGTTCATCTATCAGTGAGTCGTCCCTTCATGCGGTCTGGATGCATTTAAAGTACGGTTCCATTGCTCAAACATCATTGTTATGTTCAGATCAGATTATCAGTGGCCAAAATGTTTGTTATGTGAGTTTTTTATACATAGAATAGAAAGAAATCATCAATTGCTAATCATCACGGCGAAAACCACGTTCCCTGTTGCGCAAAAAGTCCATTAAGAAGTTTTAAGAAGAATGCACCCGTAATACTACTTTTTACATTAGAGAAGATTTGAACAAGCGAATGCTATTTATCGGGAAGCTACGTACGGTAGGAATTTTCATGAAAAACTAGAATTCTCCACTCGTAGAAAAGCGGTCCTTACGGCAGATGCGATTCGCGGAAGAGTCGAGGTTCTGTTGGCAGCAGAGTCTTTCGCAGAAAATGTTCGCAGAAGAGTCGAAGTCCTGTTGGCCGAAGAGTCGGTTCACGGAATGGAAGCTGGGCCACGACTCTTTCGGGAACCCACTCTTCCTCGAAACGGTTCTTCCGCGAACAGGCTCCTGAGTCTTCTGCGAACATGGTCCTGAGTCTTCCGCGAACCGACTCTTCTGCAATCAGTACGGCGACTCCTCCGCGAACAGACTCTTCCTTGAATCGGCTTGTATCCGAGCCGACTCTTCCACGAACAGACTCTTCCGCAAATCGACTTTTCCGCGAACCGACCCTTCCGGGAGCAGGACCCCGACTCTTCCGCGAATCGACTCTTGTTGAAAAGGTTGTGCAAGAAAATTGTGCAAAAAGTTTTAAAGTGGCTTCCACAAGGAATACTGACTTGCTAGATAAGCGCCTAAAAAGCTGAAGCAAGTTTACACTATGTGATGAAAGTATCCCTGGTGTGACACTACTTTTCGAACTGATTCTCACTGCCCCCCCCCCCACATACACTGCCAGAAATATCTAAATTTTCTAAAAATTTAAATCTTAAATCTTAAAGAAAAATGTAAATCTTAAAAGAACCGCAAGAAGTCGTTTGCAAAAGAGTCGGTTCTCGGAAGACCCGGAGTCCCGCACGGAATAGTCGGGGTCGTGTTCGTGGAAGAGGCGGAATTCCGGTTGCAGACGGGACCGCGGATCTTCCAAGTTTACACTATGTGATGAAAGTATCTTTGGTGTGACACTACTTTTCGGTTCGCGGAAGAGTCGTTCGGAGGGCTGCGTGATTACAATTACAAAATTCCAGCGTTCTATAATGGGAAAGACTTCAGGACAGTCGATGGGTAAATGCGTTTTTAGTGTAATATCGAAAGCATTCAGAGACGGTGGTGAAGCCTTAAAATTGAGCGGAATGGCTATTGCCACTCTCTGAGGGTGTCAAAAGGAGTCGTCGTATTTTAACTTATGAGTGGAAGTTCCGGTACGCTTTACGAATTTCTTTGCATTGAAGTTCTAAGGATGTTTTCCCTCGTAAGTTATTTTTTACTACTTTTTATTTGTCTTTTTTCAACACTTTGGTAAGTATGGAGCTTGTGATTTGCGCTTGGGCAATTTGCATTTGTTTAGATAATATCAGGTGTAACAAAAGGTCGTATTAATTGATGACAGATATGTAGAGTACTTCGGAGTAATTAGAGGCACTCTTCGAAAGTTTCCTTTTTTTGCTATTTCTTGGCCGTTTTTGATCGGAAAAAGTTGCTATTGAACATGATGGTAGATCAAACATTTTTCTACACGTCCATGTAAAAATCTTTTCAAAAACTCCGGCCAGTTTTGAGCCAGATGCAAAATGTGAAGAGCTCCACTAAAGTGGAGCCCAATCCGACATATGTCTCCTCTGAATGAAACATACAATACGATATGAAAATATACTTTACGGGATAGAGAGCACTCACGACGTAAGGCACAACTGGTTATTGATGTTGCGGAGGTCAGCGTGAATCAGAGTTGCATTGTTATTGGCTTCCATTGTTTATAAACATCAGCAGAACTAACAAAGCACTAACAATAAATAAAGTAGGACAATTAAGTTTTGAAACAAAATGAAGAATTTTGTCATAGGAAGTTCTGTTTTATTCTGATTTCATTTTCAGCCAGAGTTCACAGAAGGGTAACTGTGGACTAAATCTGTAACGCGCGTGGAGTGCGTCCGCACAGAGGTAAGGCTTTAGCTATCTGTCATCCATAAATGTTTCATAAATTCATTCTCTAAAGTTCTAGTTGCAGGATACCAGGCTATTCTTCTGATATATCAGAATATCAGTACGCAGTGTATTCTCAAAAAACGGCTATTTTTCTTAAACTAGGTGGGCTTGGTATATTCTCATTGACAATACACGCGAATACGCAAATATAGTGTCCGAGTCGGGAGGGGGGGGGGGAGAAGGTGCAGCATGAGAGTGAGCCACTATGCAAGCGACTTTCGTGGATGAGAATAAATTCGAAATTGCACGTCGGAAATTCTTGTATTTGTGTATTGTCGTGTATTGTCAATGAGAGTACAGCAAGCGCATATCAATATATTACACTTTTTCAGTGGTATTCTCACAAATGCAACCAGTTGAGTGTACAAAGCAATGGAAAACGAATACAAAGCCACCTTGAATAACAATACAAATAACCAGTTGCTCCTTAGGGAAAACATCCTTAGAACTTCAATGCAAAGAAATTCATAAACCGTATCGGAACTTACACTCATAAGTTAAAATATGATGACTCGTTTTGACACCCTCAGAGTGACAATAGCGCTACCCAAAACTGAGTCGGGCTTCGAGTTTTCTTAGCTGAGCTTTTAATTCGTCACGTCTTTCTGTCAAGTCAAGCATCAGTCGAATACTTTCATCTTCGTCTTCCGTTCGGGGGATCGTCATCAAGAGGTCGCGGGGTGCTGTTTTATACAGCCGTTTTGTCTCATAACCAAGATCAGACTTCTTCACTGTAAAGAGAAATAGAATCCCAATGTAGTAACGTTTCCTAGTGGGTAATATTGAAAACAGCGGGATTTCTTTTCTGTACAGAATGAATAGTACAAAGGTTCATCGTAACGAAGCATTTTTACAAAATTTCTTAATTATTAGTCTGTTGCAAAACTCGGCTGAAATGTCCCACAATAGTTTGTTTACACCACCGGAATAAATAATAATCTTCTTCATGTCCTTGCCAATCACGGACTAACTGGAACTAACTTGACCGGTCGGTTAACTGTAGAGATGAAATGAAAGACTAACTTTACAGTATTCCATTCTCTTTCTATAACATTAAATGAAAATGATTTTCTTTTCTGTGACGTTATCCATATATAGCAGTGTTTCATTTGGAGGAAAGGAGAATGAAAACTTTCATTTTCATTTATGTCATATATTTTTTTTTTCGGTCTCTCTATGCGTTAATCGTTTTAAAAAAGTCGTGAAAGTGTGAAAAGGACGTGTAAGAAAGATGCCTCAAACTAAAGTAGCCTGTTATCGAGTATAGTGTCTGTCTTTGTTATTACCTTTTTCTGCGAAAATCACGACTCATTCTCTCACATATTCCGTGAAATGTATCGACACATTTTTAAAGGATATGAAATAAAACTTTCACTTTCATTCCTTGATGAATGTGAAAGTAGTGTAAGAAAGAGAATAGCATTACTCCTTTTGTCTCGTCCGTAACCAAACATTACCCATGTGTAGAAAGCAAAGACGTCTACAGCTTACGATTCTCGTTAGGCACATATTCTTTTTTCTTATTTTTTAAGCTAGGTTAGAGTACCCGGTTAACCGGACACTCCAACCGTCCGGTTTATTTGTAGATTAACCTAGTTGATAACCTCCCTAACCGCCCGACCCTATGTTAGACTTTTTGAGGTGGAGCTATCTTCACAGTGTCCATGCAGGAAGGAAAAAACATTGTACTTCTTTTTCCGATAAAAAGGGTACATGTTGAAAAATAGATGAGTGAACCGTAACCGAAGAAAATTCCCTGATTTATTTCCAAGTGGCAAGACCCGAATAAAACCTAGATACTTATATTGAATGAAAAGAAAAGTAGAATAGAACAGAATTTTTATCTTGTAAAGTAAGTCTGTTACCGGAATGATGCAGAGTTATAGAAACACGCACATTCATTTTTACAGTTTTTGTCGAAGATTACTGAGATAGAAGGGGATGGGAAAATTATGGCGCTGAAGACAAGTAACTGAGCGCTATCCGGAAGAAGATCCTCCGTCCGTCGTTAGTGTGTTGCTTAATTGACATGAGCAATTTGTTGTAATACGGTTTAAAACGTATTCAAGCAATATGACACTAAATTATAGAGATATTTTAAAGCCCGATTCTTTGACCAGGCGAGGCAACAGTTAACTAAATTTAGATTCCCTATTTGGCATTCGAATCCTTACCGGAAGTTTGATCGACTTACAAATATACACATCTTATCTCTATAGTAGAGTTTTAAAATTTTAAAATTTAGTAAAATTTAATTCAAAAGCCCGGTTTAACGAATTTTGAAAAATCCTTCATTCATATTCCAGGGAATCTGGTTCTAAACAGCTTTCGTACCCACGCTTTCCCTCGGAAATGCTTCCTTTGAACGAAATTTGGTTCAAGGTGTTGTGAAAATATTTTCGAAAAAAAAAATAATATTTTCCTCCAATTAGACAAACTTTTTAGTTTTGAAGTTTTTTGCTCAATTTTCCCAGTTTGTAGCGGACACTTCGATGTATACGTTCCGAAGCTTTTTCGGCTTACGAACATTGTCTGGCTGAGAAAAAAATTAATTACTTAAAAAAATATTGTTAAATTTTTGAGCACGAGACTGTTATAAACAAATTCTAATGAATGAATTGGATTCGAAAAGTCTTAAGCCAGCCAATCTTGCAGCTTGTGAAATTCTCTATCAGATGAGATATAGCTTAAATTCTTTTTATCGGTTTTTATTTTGGAAGTAGGACTGTAAGCTAAATTAACCTTAATTAGTGATAATTAGTCAATAATAGGAAGGAAAAGATTTACTTGTTTTGAGACAGTCTCGTATATTTTATTCATATCCACCTTTATCGCAGATGAAAACTCATTCATCATTTTTTCGTCGCTCAACCAAGTGCTCGTTTGTTCAGGTTTGTCGATAGCGACTGTAGCTAATTCTGCGTTTTCAATATCATTAAATTGGAAACAATCATATTAATGGTCCACTTCACGATCATTCTTTAGTCATTTTATCATCATTTCATAATAATTCAAAAACGATATGAAAATCGCACAGAAATCCGATAAATATTCCCACATAAGTGATGCTAAGCTAATATCATACAAATGAACTTGAACTGAGCATTATTGAATGGCATTTTATGACCATTTCGGTGTCATTTAGGTATGTCTTAAAAAATGAGCTAGATACGGTGTTAAAATGATCATACATACGGCATAGAGGGTAATACAAATATGGTTTTAAAATGATACAGTTATGACCTAAAACGAGATGATCATCGCAAGATTTCTACATCATTTTTAGAAATGTAGAAAAAATTTCATTCTTCCCAGTAGGTTTTGTGCGTCCCTGTCATTCATATGCACACAGATGTACATGAATAGGGATACAGACTCTGTATCGTGGTAGAAAGTAATCTATAATGTAGAAGATCACATGTTCATAGTAATGCTGCTCATATCTTTTCCAAAAACATGAGCTGATAAATGTGTAAGCTACAGCGTTTTCTGTAGTAATCTATTTCTCTAAATTTTAGATAAAGTCGACTGACGTCATAAAATAATCATTTTTCAGGTAAAGTATTGTCTAGAAAACCTTATCTAACAGTAAAGTACAAAGATTCGCTATATAAAATGTAGTTTTTAATTTCAGCGAACTAACTGTGTTAAAAAGTTCCGTTCTCTGCAGGTTTTCCTAAATGTTTTAGAACAAGATGAAAAATGAGAATACTCTTAATTATATTCTTCTGATTGATGCGATTCATCAGTATGTGGAACATCACTTGTCCATAACGTAAGTTGATCCCGCAGTAATTGCATAATAAGTGTGCTGTCTTTGTATGTGGCTTCTGTTAATGTGTCAATTTCAGCTAACGCATCATCAAAAGCCTGTTTCGCCAAATGACAAGCAAGATTCCGTTCATCTAATATTTCATAATAATATGTGGCATAGCTCAATGCAAAACCAAGTCGAAGTGGATCTGTTGGAGACATGTAACTCCTGACAACATCAAATGACGCCTTAGTTGCTTGTTCTGATTCTTTGATCAAGTTTTTTCTGTCTTCACCAATTGCAATTTCAGCTAAATAACGACAAAAATCTCATTTCATTTTCAAATAAGACACTTTTGATTCAGGTATTGTAGTTTTTGAAATTAAAAATTTATCCAATAAAGTAAAAACTTCTTGACAAATATCTTTTAACTCATTTTCGATTTTTTCTCGATATTCTTTAGCCAGTTGTTGTACAAAGTTTGAAGATTCGGGTTTTTGTTCAATTGAAGAAATAACACGCCACGATGCACGACGCATACCAGCCACGTTTTTATATGCAATATTAAAAAGATTTCTTTCTTCGTTTGTCAATTCACCATTCGATTCAACTATTACGTTCCTCATATTACTAACCATATCATCATATCTTTCAGATTGCTCAGCTAATCTGGCACGTTCGATCTCTTCTTCGGTTTCACTATTGTTGCTGCTCATTTTTGATAGATTTAAAACATAAAACGTTATGCTGCAAAAAATGATTTCGTTGTGCGATGATGTCACGAAGTTACAATGACCAGATGAAATTTAATGCTGTTTTTTCTATTAGTTTCGTTTACAGTAAAAAGGTTTCAGTAGTCGTACTTTTTCTTCCTGTCTGAACCGTGAAAATTCAATTTTCTTTTGTATAAGTAATGTTTGCTCTTTACGAAAGTAGATCAGAAAGAAAGAAAAAGAATAACATGAAACAGGACAAAAAAATGCGACGTTTGCGAACTTTCAAAAGGAAGCAAGTGTGGGACATTTTTCTGATATGAAAACTAAACCAAGCTCGTTGATATGCATGTACCTCTAAACGCATATTGACTTTTGTCAAATAATTAGTAAGTAACGTTATGAATCTTTATTTTCTATAAAACACTCGGTCACCTTGAGTAATGCAATGGAAACAATGGTCGTTAAATGGTAGTTGTCTTTGTAGAACATCATTTGAGAACGTTGACTTGACGATAGTAATTGGTGTCACATTTGTTGAATCTTAGCTGTTTCTGCTGGGACTTGGTTAGCTATATCAATGATTGTTGTACGAGTTGATTGCATCAAAAAATTTCATAGGTTTTTTCTAGATAAGCAAGTTTTACAGGATCTGAATATTCGGATTTAGCTTAGCCAGTTAAGTTAAATGCGATATTACTGGGTTTTTCTGGTTGATGGGTTTTCACTCTTTCCAATGCTATAGATCACTTATTTTTCAACTCTGAATATAAAACTGACACCCATTAGCCTTTCAGTTTTGTTTGTTTTCATTATGGTTCTTTTTTTCGTATATAACTTCTAGCCTTCTTTTTGCTGACGACCTGGCTGCAGTTATAGCAGATCGTATTGGGATAAGGCACACCGAACAATGCATAGATTTAAGAAAAAGACTCGCCGTTTTCTTCGACTTTGAATTTTATTCCTTATTGGCGCTTTAGCTGTTAAACTATGATAAATCTGAGGCGGCCTGCCGAAATTAAGCTAATGTCTGAATTTCATTTGATAAGGTGGATATCCCAATTCAAGTATTTCGGCTATTGGCTGCCCCCAAAATTAGGGTGGTCAAAAATAATTAGTAGAAGTGTACTAAAAATTAGATAACGGTTAGGAATGCTCAGATCGTGTACAATTTTCGGCCTTTTTAAAATTAATAAGAGTTTTATATTTTTGTTATGTACTTCCTCTTTTTACCGGTAGACAACAGCAAGACCTGTGCCATTGCAAGCCCTTTAACGGACACTATACCCGTGCTTGCCTTTAATGATACTGATCTGCTCTGTGAATTTTCTTAATATTTTTAATAATTTTGTATGCGTACTTTTTTTTTTCTTTTTTCCTGCTCTTACGACAGGGATGGGCAACTCTACCGAATTGTTTTTTTGGGGAATCGGAAACTGGTCAACTGAGACTTTCGTCACCTACACCTTCGTCATTGACTATTGTAAAATTTTCTTTTATACTGTAAGGACCCTTTGGGTCATAGTTATATTGCAAATAAATATAATAAATGTTTTTTGGGCGTGCTTTGGGTTTAGAAATAATCGATATTGAAGCTTTTCCTGTATTTCTTCTATAGTTTTTTATTCTTATAGTATATAAAGAAATGTTTAGTATGTTTTGTGTAAAGAATTGAATGAAGAATCTTTGAAGAAAAGACTAAGACTTGGTGATCAACTTTGACCGAGATATTGAGAAAATACCTGATAGGACATTTATTCTGTGCCACACGTTAACTGAACGAAAATGAAGGATCACACCGATATCAATTTCTCGGAGACCGCTGTTGACAACATGATCGACAAGTGATTCTCGTGTATATAAACTATGTTTTTCCTATTCAGCATTAAAAACTGCATAAAATAATAGCATCTGATCGATTTTACAACACTCGTTACTTTTAGACACAGTTGATAAACGCAATTTACTAGTTAGAGAAGTGTTTCTAAAATCAAACCAGACTGTTTTTGTGTACTGTGGCAGAAACTGACCGATTGTCTCTAAGGTCGTATGTCATCAACATTTATAAGGAAGAATGCACCAAAGGGGTCAAACCAGTGACATATTCTGAAAGCTCAAAATGTCTTCTATAAATTGGATCATTCGGACCAGTTTATGTGAGCATGGCGGGGAGAAAAGCACCAAAAAACTTGTTTTCATTACTGCGTCAGTTATATCGTGGCAGGCTGTTCACCACAAGTTCTCATTTTCTGTGGCCAGAACAATGAAACGAAGAAAAAATTATTGAGATCGGTCGATCAGAACCCACGATATTATTTATTTACATTGCGGAGTCGAAGCGTACAATAAAATTGAAATCGCCCGCTTTCTAGTCAATAAATAGACAACAGTCATGAAGAGTAAACTATTTGTTGAGGAGGCACATGATATTTTAGGAAAAGGAACAATATTTTAAACAAGTCATGGTTTTCTTATGTTGTTCGAGCAAAAACCATATTAGTAATTGGCATGAAAATTGAATTGAAGGAATTCACATTGAGAAAACATAATTTTGATTCTTTCTTCATTCTCTTATGCTGAAAAACATGTTTGCAGAGACAAACATTATTTTTTGACCAAAGTCGAAGTTTTTTGAGTGGTAGAACATTCAAGTGACAAATATGATATTTATCTTGAATAAAAATGCTTCGTTATCTCAAAAAATTATGATTTACTGATTATAAATCTCGGCTTTTATCTTACATGTTGCCTAGCTCATTAATGGGAAATTTATGCTATTCAATGTTTTTGTGTAACATACGATGCAAAACTAAGTACAAACTTTAATACATTGACCGTAATTCAAACATTCACTGTTATTCGTACAGGTATAAAACAACGACGACGTCATAATCTAGATGGTAATGTACGTTTCAAATATGCTAGTAGCATTACATATATATGGATCTTTATTACTTTCCTCTTCCTTCTTTTACAATAAAACATATTCAGAAAAGCTTGTCAAATCATCCATATGATATATACTAATAGTTAT